CCCCGTTTTCCCAGCGCCTGCTGGAGTTTTATGGCAGGGCCAAGCTTACCTGGCATCTGCAGGAGGAATAATAAACCCCTGTTAGTGGTGTGCTGGGTGTGTGGGATGGTGGGGAAGGCAGATCCCAAACCCACACATCCAGTGATCTGTGCACAGCCCTGCAAACACCACTGGGACTGCACAGCAGCACCATACAGAGGTTCAGTGGCCCATTCCAGACCCATCTGGAGTTCAGGGCTGGACTCTCCTACTCTTCCCTGCACCACAGCCCCATCTGACCCCTGTATCTCCCTGCAGAGCCCAGCAGGGTGCAGGGAAAGGCAGAACTTCACAACTGCAAGCTGCACTCCTTCATCTAATCCAGACACATCCCAACACCATTCCTCTCTGCAGAGGTTTTCCAACCTTCATATCCTTCAAGAAAACTTTACAACAAATGCCCTACACCACTTAGCCACCCCCATTCCCTGCATCATAGCCCAAGACCCGCATTAAAACTTCCCAGCCCTTTTGTCCTTCCCACCCACCTCCTGCTCCATCATGCACACACATCACTTCACCTTCAGCTTGGTATTAGGAAACATTTCTTCTCCACAAGAGTGGTTGGGCACTGGCACAGCTGCCCAGGGAGTGGGGGAGTCCCTGTTCCTGGAGGTGCTCCAGAACTGCAGAGATGTGGCACTGAGGGACATGGTTATGGGCATGGTGGGATGGGTTGGGGACCTTAGAGGTCTTTTCTAACTCTATGATCTCTGCTCCCGGGCTCAAAAAAGCTGAATTGCAGAGGTCCCCTCTCCCCTCATGCACTCCCCAAGCCCACACCCAATGTGCTGACATCAAACACCCACTGTCCCTCCCCAGAATCTGAGAAGCCATGAGGAATTTGGAGTCCCTTGGGGATTGCATTAGGAAGGAAAATGCCTATGTGAGATAATGCATGCTACAAATACTGCCCCATCCCTTCAGAAGGGCCTAGAGTGGATTTGCTGTCCCCCCCTGCACTGCAAAGCAGCCCTATAACCTCCCTCTGCCCCACTGCTCTCCACTGGCAGCAGCTCAGCGCAGTGTTTTGGCACCAAGACCCCCACCCTGGAGACAACACGACTGGGGCTACAAACTGCTGGTGTGAAAAAATATTTAAAAAAACCATAAAGATTGGTACCAACCCAAAAGCTTCGAGGCAAAACACCAATGGGCTGCAAGCAACTGCTACAAAGCAAACACCTGTGGGTGATGGGGGACCTGCCATCCGTGTGCTTGGACAGATGCCCCTTGCAAGCCATACTGTTGCACCCCTAGGGCACCCAAAGACCTGACACCACGTTTTCTATACACTTTACATGGCTGCTGAGAGTGGTTTCACGCAAGCAGCAATTCCCCCACGTTTATTTTAGCACTGTAGCAAAGCTGAGTTTTAAAAGGACTGACTATTTTTGGTGGCTCCAATTTGAAATTCTGTTTAGCAGAAAAGAAGGGGAAAAATAAAATGAGGGAAGAAGGGGAAAAAGAAGGTTTGGGTGAAATTTAAGTCGTCCTATAAACTTTGCTGAGTCCCACAGAACATCCCCTCCACCAGAGCTGCCAAGGGAACGAACAGACCCTGTTATTATTAAGCACAATCAGGCCCTGCAGAAGTCTCCTATCCAAATTGCAAGGGCTCAACCAGGTGTAATGCTACCCAAAGCACAGCAGCAGCACAGGCTCCCTATGCTCCCCTTGGGAGGAGAACTTGGGTGAAGCCAATGGGACTGAAATGAGGCCAGCAGCCAGGACTTGACACGCACTGGGCACCTTCCCAGTGCTGAAAGGAACCCTGGGGCGAGCAGCACAGCCTGCACTGAAGCCACCCCTGTCCCCACTGTGTCCCCATTGTGTCCATACCACGTCTCATTGCTGAGCAGGATGCAGAGACTTCAGTTGGATGCAGAGCCTCCAGTTGGGATGCCAGGGGAAAGGGGATGAAAGGCAAGAGAAACTCCAATTAATTGAAAAACCACAGCCAGGCCATGTTTGCCTAAGATTATCCAGAGGAATGCAAGTCTCCTTCACAGCGCATTCATTTGCTCAAAACAGAAGTGAATAGAGTGAACTTCGGGTGGGAGAGGAAAGGGAAAAGAAAAGATTCGTATGACCTGGAGTTGGGGCTGGGACAAGATCTGCCTGAGGACTGGAGTGGGTGCAGACTCTCAGCCCATCTCCAAAGCTCAGCCAAAAGCCCTGAACCCATCACATATCCCTGTTGGGTCAGCAGCTCTGTGCATCAGCACAGCACTGTTGGGAGGGGAGCACCACAGCCACACTGCTCCCAAGTGCCCATGCTGGGAGCACAGTGCATGGGGACACCCAGTCCTGCAACCCCTTCCTTAAACTTCAGATCCACCTTTTTCCTTTAGGGAAAAAACACAGTCTTCAAAGAGCAAGGACAAATTTGCACCACGGAGGGGGGAGGGAGGGAGAAGCACACAAGACAGCAGCACCAAAATCCCACAGATCTGCAATGCAAAGCCATACACTGCAAATACTCTGTAGGGTTGGAAACGCAGCATGCAGCCACCACACAGCCCAGAAGAGCTCCAGAGCATTGGGAACTTTCAGAGCCAGGCTGCCCTGTGGTGAATACAGCTTTTGGGGTTGGGGTTTTTTTTTGGTTGTTTGTGGGCTTTTGTAAGCCTTATCCTCCTCAGAGGGAGGAAGAAAGTGTGCATCACATCCATCATGACTTGGGTGAGCAGGGTCAGGGCAGAGATGCCAGTACACCCCATCTCAGCGATGCTGACAGCAGTGGAGGTGAACCCAGTGCAGAATGCTCTCCCTACCCTCAGCCACACTGCAGCACACCTCCCCTAAGTGCCATCTGCACCAGGATAAAGGAGCTTTGTGTAACACCGATCTCTCAGCACGTTCCCATATGGAATTTGATCACCTCGGACTTATCAGAACGGAGCTTTGAAATCCTCCACCCCTCTGACCAAGGATGTCAGCTGTGACGTGAAGGGTGCTGGCATCCAGGCATGGGATGGGCTGAGCAATGCCCTTCCATCATACCCAGCCTGATCTCAGCTGGACGGCCAGGGCAGCGCTGCACAGAGCCTGGGTTTGGGGCTGCACATCACAGAGAAGCTGCTCCTGCTCACACTCACACCCACTCCCCACCTCCACGCTCACACTGAGCACAGATTCACAAGGACCCGACTTGGAGAAACAGAAGGTTAAATGAGAGAAGGGAAAGCAGTGGAGAGCCGGTCCAAGAGCAACATCATCTGGCAACTTTGTTTGGAAAAATTAATGCTTCTGCAACATTTTAAGAGAATGGAAGTGGATGGAGAGGGGAAGAGGGAGAGAAAAGGCAGCGTGGAAATCCAGGAACTCCCTTCAACTTTCTATCCACAATCAAAAGCGAGGCTGGGAAATAAAGAGAAACACAACATGTTGTTGATGACTTTTCCATTAAATACGAACATTTAAACCCCCTCTTTGTATTCCAGCCTTTGCTCGCAGCCTCAGCAGGCCCCACTTCTTTTTCCCTCCCCTCCCTCCTTTTTAATAATAATAATAAAAAAAAAAAAGTTATATGACTTTAATTAAATGCACTTATTAAAAGGGTGAAATATTTGGAGAGGCTGTTTTTACGCTGGAGGCACATTTTCCAGCATGCTGCAGAGTGTCTGCATCCGCCCGCCCCAGGCAATTTTTAATGCACAAATAAATCCCCACCTGAAGTGCTGACAGGTTATTACGCAGTGTGGCAGCCAACTAAAGTAAACACAGGGGCAGAGTTTTAACCTCTTGCAGTCGCAGAGCTTCTCCCCACCAAGGCGGGCTCAGGCATAAATGACCAGCAGCAAAGCAACCCCTCTTCTTGCACTTCCTCTGCTCCATCCCACTCTGCAGCCAGCAGTAGGGATGGGGCAGTGCTGCAGCATCATCTCAGCAGCGCTCAGCCAATGCACAAAGGCAGCATGCAGTGCAATGGGAAACTGCATGGGAAATTGGCACTGGGCAGTCATGCCCAGCCATGCTGGAAAGCACTGGGTCCAACTTTTAGGACGAGTCCTGGAGGCAATGTGTTCCCATCAGCTGCATTCCATTTGCATTATTGGTGTTCTCAAAGCTAAGACTGGGGTTTGCATGTGCCCTTATCAGCGCCGAAGCTGAGATCCAGCAGATAATCAACAAACTGCAAGCAAATCATCCTGCAAACAGGAAGGGAATGGACACAAAGACCAAGGGAAGGAAGGTGCCAGACCTAAGGCCGAGTGCTGCTTTTTAGAAAGGAGGCATTAGCAGTCACCCAGCAGCTCTCATGCCCCACCAGATTCTCACACCAGGGCTCCCACATTTGGAAGCTTAATTCCAAGCATCCGCATCCAGGCATCCAAACGTGCTCAGCTCCTAAACCTCCCACTACAATTAACATTAAGCAATAACTGTGCACTCAGACTAAAGCCAAACCATACGAGTGTCTTCAAAGCCCAGCTGCCAAAAAAAAAAAAAAAAAAAAAGCAGCTCCCAAAGCCAGTGGTCACTTCTTTAAGGTTTAGAGCTGATGCACGAAGCTCCTCTTTCCTAAGGATGACACAGTGCTGCACCCATCCCCTCCTAAAGGTCACAGGGACAGCACACACCCAGCAGCACCCAACCTCCACAGGAGGGACCCCCTGCCAACAGGAGTTATTTGCACAGAAGAGCCTGAGCCAGAAGGAGACCAAGGAGGTGGATCAGCCACCTGAAGGAAGCCTTCATCCCATTGCCACGACCCCAGCAGCGACTCCTCTTCCTCAGCCACAGTTCCTGCACAGGTCACTTGGGCAGCACACGATGCAGACAGGCTCCAACAGCAACGTCGCCCTTGTCTTAAGAAATTAAGGCTTCAGCTCTACTTCCACATCTGACAAGACGCCGCATGCTTTGCTAATCCTCGGAGGAGATTAACTTTTTATTTAGAATTCTTTCCTCTAAATGTGGCAATTATGAAGGGTGGTTGTTTTTTTTTTTTTTTTTCCTTCCCTTTAAGCTCTTGGCAAGAAAAACATTTTCTCCAGGTTGGCTCAAACAGTTCAGTTAAATGAGGATCCCGGCCTTATTTTCCCCTTCTGAGCACATCCCCAGCAGCACTTTGCACAAAGGATGGGAACATCCACCTGCAGACACAGAGCCAGTGGTGGTGATGGAGGAGAGCAGCTGTCAGTGCTGAATACAACACCTCAGTGCAGTGCTGCTCACATAACCCCACGGTGGCTCAGTGCACAGTGGAGCCCCAGCACTGATGCCCAGGAGAGCTGTGGGCACAGGGATGGTTTAGATGCATCTGACTGGGACTCCACCAGCAATTGGTTCCCAAAGCAAAACTTCAAGCCAGTCTTCTTCAGTCATATATCCACACATATGCATGTAAACCTAAAAAAAATATGACGACAGCATGCATGTAAATCTAACAAATGGGTTCTGCATGCATACACTGAGCCCACTCCCATGCAGACACCACATACCTGCGGCCGTGCAGCTCCAGCAACAGTAGAGCAGTTCACACAAAATTCATTGAAGAGTGCCCCAAACGGAGCAAAGGCAGCCCTGACTGCGTACAAAGGGGAAAAAAAAAAAAAGTGTATCGAGTGCCTGCAGCTGTCAGAAAGCATTTCTCCAGCTTTGGGCGAGACAGACACAACCAATTTAGCCCGGCCTCGCTGAGGTGTATTAAGCTGTCAGTGGGGATGATATGAATTTAATCACTCGGAGCAGATCAAAGCTCTGCAGTGCTGTCGGTGATGCGCCGGACGCGCGGGGATAACGCAGAGGATGAATGCATACGGGAGCATGGGGAGCAGGAGAAGCCTCAGTGTGCTCCTGGGACACCCACTGCCCACTGGGACTGCCCCTGTGTGGGGTACAGCTCCAGCAGTACCACCTCCTGCTCCATTATTCCCAACTTCGTGCTAGAGATCCCTCCAAGATACAGGGTCAGCTTTCCCACCACTGTGATACACGTGGTGTCCCACCATCCAGCTGCAGAGGAGGGGGGGAAAAGCCAAAGAACCAAAGGGAAAAATACACAGCTCAGCCACAGCTGGAAGGAAAGCCTCCCATCGCTGCAGGGATTTAGTCTGCCGTTTCCCTGGGATGGATTAGCCTTTGACTACTCCATTAATTTTTACTGAGGTTCACTGGGCAGTTTTTACTGGGGTTTGTTCAGCAGGAGGGAGCGGGCTGGCTGCACCATCCAGATGCTGCAAGCTACCAACCCAGCCAGGAAATTGTAACCAAACAAAGCATCTCCTGCAGAAAAGTGCCCACAGCTGGGGTCAGGCAGAGCTCATGGGAGCTCACCCAGCCCAAAGGCTGAATAACTGAAGGGGGTCCCACCGCGCCCAGCTGCTGCTCATGGGCACCTTGTGCACACTGCCAGGGATGCTCATATTAACCCAGTGAGAGGAGGAGATGCCGATGGGATGCCAACCTCCCTGCCCACCTGCAGAGGGACAGGAGCTGCTCAGTGGCACTGAGCAGGGAACACACAGAATCACAGAATTGCCAGGGTTGGAAGGGACCTCAAGGATCATGAATCTCCAACCCCCCTGCCACACGTAGGGCTACCAGCCAGCAGCAGCTTCAGCATCACCTCTCCCCAAGGCCAAGCATCAGTGCCACGAGGCAAGGAGTTGGAACACCTCCAGTCGCACCCAGAAGTGGAGAACAGCATGGTTTGATAGCACAGCACACATTTCTTGGTACGCTTTGCCATGTTACCAAGTTCTCATGCACAGAAGCTCAGCTCTCCCCAGACCACAGCACACCTCCTGAGCAGGACGGCGCAGAACGCCATGTGAATCACTTACATAAACCTAATTAGCAGGGCTCCGCTTTCAGCACAGCAAATGGCTCCTCTAATCCTGGATTTGTTCTCCTAGAAACTAATTTAATCTTACAGTGCCAGCCAGGCTGCTCACGTGGCCGAGGGCAGGAGCAGCCCCACAGCTCTCTGTCCCCAGTCATGAGCTGCTATAGGGCAGGCAGCCTGGCGTGCAGCCTTCCCATACCCCATACCACACCAGAGCAGCATGTACTCAGGGACCTTAATCCTCTAAACCAGCCCCAGACAGAACTTGCTGCTTAAAAACACTAAGAAAACTTCAGAGATCTGGGGAGGGAGGGCAAGAGCACGGTACATCAGAGCAGCCATGCAGCCTGCTCCAGCAGTGTCCAGCCTGACAGCTGCTGCTTGGGGTGGCTAAGAGGTTCTGGACACCTTTGATGGCCAGATGTCACCTCTGAGGGGACGTCACCTTCCTCCAGGACGGGCAGCACCTCTGCTCTTCACATTCCCAGCAGCCAGGTGCTAAACACCAAGTAGCAGAAATTGGCATCACTCTGGCTTGGAGAGACGCAGAGTAGCGTGACCATCACACAGCAGTGACATCATCCTATGGGCGCAGGACCTGGGAAGACTTTGGAACCAAGATCCCAGCCAAAGCAAAGCTTCCCCCAGCCACATCCACGCTAGGACACACCGAGATGTTGCATGCCAAACGGTGCCTCAGTGCCATCACTGCCTCTTACTGAGCTCAGCCCCAGCGCCGCACTCACGCCTACGTGATGGGTTTTGCAGGGCAGTCCTCCTTCACTTCTTTACATGCTTTTCTCCAGCCAAGTGTGAACGCTTTCCTCTCTTTTCTGCAGAAAGGTGAAGCAAGGACATCTGCAGCCAAGCGTCATCCAGACTTGGAGAGCTCTGGCAGCAGCACTGCGTTCTGCAGCAATTTTAATTTATAACCGTGCTCACGGTAACCTTGGAGAAATGCAGGAATTGGACTTCTAAGCTCTAAAATTAAAGAGTATTCAGAAAACACAGTTTGGGAGTTTTCTTCCTTCTGAGCTTTTCCACTAGAAAACTTTGTTTCTGGCTTAAGAAGGTTGGCTTCCACAGACAGCTTTAAATAAGTACTGAATCCAACACATATATGGATCATTGTGCCAGCAGGATCCCAAACCCTCTGCAAGGGAAACCCCACCTCCTGGGCAGGCTGAGCCTGGGCCTCCAGGACTTCAGACTCCCTTTCCTTTAGCTCAAAGCAGCAGCTCTGCAGACCCCTCCATGCTGCCCAAGCACAGAGCACTTTAAACAGCCCCCAGGAGCACAGCAGCTCCCCAACAGCCTCATGCTTCAACCAAATAATACAGCTTAGAATCATAGGATCAATAAGGTTGAAAAAGACCTCTAAGATCCCCAAGCCCAACCTCAACCCATCCTACCGTGCCCATAACCACATCCCTCAGTGCCACATCCCCACAGTTCTGGAGCACCTCCAGGGATGGTGACCCCACCACCCCCTGGGCAGCTGTGCCAGTGCCCCACAGTAACAGAGCCCCATCTGACAAGACAGGCTGCTACAGGCACATCCCTTCCCAATGCCAGCAGCAGGTGCTGGCTGGGACCCGTGGGAAGAACTCTGCCATCCATCCCCAGGGACCAACCCGCTGTGGTGTCACCCCAGGGCTCGGTCACATGCCCTGTCTGGGCACGAGCTGCCCACGTCCTTGGTCTGCAGAGAGCAAACATCAGGTTATCTCCCGTTAGCAAACAAGTGGGCCATTAAGCGACAGGACTCAGACAATATTTAATTGCCCCAATCGTGGGAAGGGGCAGCGGGGAGGAGGCAGAAACTGCAGGGGAAATTCCACCAACAAAGATTAAACGGAGCTACAAACCAAAGCTGACAGGTTAACAGACAGGTAATATCCCAGCAGTGTTTGCTCAGCCAGGCAGGACAGGCAATGCCACATCCCAAACAGCAGCAGGGCAGAGCACAGCAGCCAACCTCTCACAGCTACTTCATGGACCTCCAGCACTGCATCCTCATTTACTCAACGGGGCCAACACAGAAGGCTTCCTCCACACCTGCCCAGAAACCTCTTTCAGCAGCTCCTGCATCCCCAGCAGGCTCCATCCATGATGCAGCATTGAGTGTGAGCCTCTCAGGTCCACCTTCCCTCCTCCCTTGCTGGGTCCCACGAGCACTTTGGAAATCCTGACCCACAGGTGAGGAGCACAGGCTGCTGAGCACCACCCAAGTCGTGCTGGGCGGCAGGAGCTAACGAGTGATTAATAGAGGTTACAAGGTTGCATCAGACAGACAGGAATGTGTTATGAAGGGCAATGAGCACATCAGCAAAAGGTGTTAAAGAGCCCGACAGGTTGTTTATAACCCTCCATGAACAAGCGATTAACCATTAATCCTCTGTTAGCACCACTCTGCACAAGCAGGGCTCCCTGCTGCAGGGCGGCCATCAGCTCTGCAGAGGTGTTCAGGAAGAGCAGAAAACAGAGCAACCTCATCAGATGTGGCTCACACAGCTCCCACTGGAAGAACCCACGGTCCCACAGCACCAGGCTGTGCTCCAAGGGGGCTCCTGGTGGGATCCCAGTGCTCACCCAGCTCCTTCCCAGCAGCTGGTCCCATCCTCTTCCACCTGCATCCTATCAAGGATGCTCTCGGCTGGCCTCAGTATGTTTGAAGAGCAAGGCATCTCTATTCAGATCCATTATAAGAGCTCTCTGCCCTCACTTTGGGTTGCCCATTGCAGGGCTGGAGGGAAGCAGCAAGCAGCTGAACTCCTTTCTGTAAACAGGGCAGGGGCTGAGCAAGCAGCTGGGCAGGGCTGCAGCAGAAGGGCACTGAGAGGGCTTTGCACAGAGGGTGGGAAGCTCCCTGCAGCTCTCACCCTGCAGCCACTACACCCTGTCATCCTGCAAATGCTCACAGCTCCCCAAACCAGCCAAAACCTCTTTGGAACAAGTTTCAGGAGCTGCAGAAAGCAGGTTTTATGAGCATCCGGATGAGCCTGGGCCAAGAAGGGGAGGTCAGAACAGAGCTCATTCTACCTGTACTGACATCACGGCATCCCTTTTCCAAGTGCTGCAAGGGATGCCAAAGAACATAGAAACAAAACACAGCCCTTATACAGCCAACCTGAGCATCGGATGGGAGATGCCCCAGCAGCACTGCTCTCAGCTGTCCATCTGCTTTGGTATAACCATACAGACTGCAGTTATTTGCCAGGTGCTCCATTCCAGTGCTGCCAGCAGCAGCTGCTTCTTTTTGCACAGTCCCATCAAGACTACAGGACAAAAAGTTGAACCTGAAGTGACAGACTGGGCCACCCATCCTCAGATGTGCTCAGTGCCCCAAAGGCAAAGCACTTCCCAGATGCTATAGTGAGGGAACCTGCTCCCCATTCAGCTATACCTGTGCCTGAACTTCATTTTCAGGCATTTGCTTATCACATCCCATCACCTCTTCCCAGCTCAGTGTCTGGGCAAGCAGCAGGAAAAACAGAGGGGAAAAGAGAGACAGGAAACCCTGCCAGGTGGAAATCAGAGAGGAAAAAGTGGTGCTCCAAAAACAAGCACCTTAATGGCTTCGTAATCATCAGAGTGCCTCAGTGTTCTGCTGAAGAGCTTGGATGCACTGGACTGTCATAAGACATGACACGATGCTTTGCTCCAGCCAGAGATTTTGCACATGGACTCTTGAGTAACTTAAGTGACTTGCAAGTCCCAGTGTTCTTAATCAGGAGGCT